ATTCCCTAATACATCTTGAAAACACAGCGAGGGCGTGATTCCTGAGTGTCGAAGGCGTGGCGTTTGATTACATTGCAAGGATGTCCCACGCGAAAGCGTGATTCCTGCATTAGAGTATCAGGAAATCCCTCGCGAGAGCGCGATGTGGGGAATATATTGTACGGAAATCTCAAACGAGTGCTGTTGTTGTGGTTGTAAACCGGAGGCCAGGGGCACAGTTTGAGCAAGAAGACTTTCCCCGGTAAGGACACAGCAAGCCCCGGGAGGGACACTTCAAGTGAAAAAAATTATGTTACGCGAACCCGTGAGTCCTGCACTATTCGCCAGGAAATCTCGGTCGAGAGCGCGAATCCTAAGTAAAGTATAAGGAAGTCCCAGGCGAGAGCGCGATTCCTGAATGGCGAAGGCGTGGCGCCTGAAAAAAACACGAGGAAGTCACAGACGAGAGCGCGATTCTTTGATAAATTGCAAGGAGGTCCCTAGCGAAAGCGCGATGTCTCAGTAAACTGTGAGGAAGTACCAGGCGGGAGCCGTTTGTTGTTGTAGTCCAGGGGCCAACAACGCAGTTCAAGGAGGAAGACAATTCCTGATAATATACGAAGAATGCGCGAACCCCGGGAGCGAGCAATTCAATTGAAAAAGCACATATGGCACAGAGGGGGATCAACAATAATGCTTCTTCAGTAACGAATTCAACAACAACGACAGTAACAGCAGCAACAACAATCATTTTAAGACTGTTCGCTCTTATGTGCTCGGGTGTCCGTTAACGCGTATTTCCCAAACCATCGATACCCGCGCCCTCTTCGTCTTCGACCGTGCCCCTTTTGGGGGGTACACCTTTCTTCCCTGCAGGCCGGGCCCCGGCAAGCGGCGGGGCGGCTGCGGACCGTCGGCCTGGCCAGCGGCAGCGCTGATCGGCGGCAACCCGACCCCAAGAGGGACGCACAAGGGACCGACCACGACGACGACGACGACGACGACGACGACGACGACGACGACGACGACGACGACGACGACGACGACATCGACGACGACGACGACGACGGCGACGACGACGAGCGAAAGCGAGAGCGAGAGAGAGAACGACAGCAGGGCCACGAAGGGCGACAGCGGGGACACGAAGGGAATGCGTATGGGGCCACGAGGCGCGCGAACGAGCGGGGGCCACGAAGGGCAGATAATGTGGGGCCACAGAAGGCAACGACGGGGCCACTGAGGGTAGCAACTGGGCCACGTAGGACAGCGAGGGGGCCACCAAAGGCGACAGCGGGGCCACGAAGGGCATGCACATGGGGCCATGACGGGCGCGAACGAGCGGGGGCCACGAAGGGCATACGTATATTGGGCCGCGGAGGGCAAGGACGGGGCCACTGACGGCAGCAACTGCGCCACGAAGGGCAGCGAGGGGGCCACGAAGAGCGACGGCGAGGCCACGAAGGGCATGCATATGCGGCCACGACGGGCGCGAACAAGCGGGGGCCACGAAAGGCATACATATATGGAGCCACGAAGGGCAGCGAGGGGCCACGAAGGGCTGCAACGGGGCCACGACGGGCAGCCAGGGGGCCAAGAGGGGCTGCAACGGGGCCACGAAGGGCAGCGAGGGAGCCACGAGGAGCTGCAACAGGGCCACGAAGGGCAGCGAGGGGGCCACGAAGGGGTGCAACGGGGCCACGAAGGGCAGCGAGGGGGCCACGAAGGGCTGCAACGGGGACACGAAGGGCAGCGAGGAGACCACGAGGGGCCGCAACGGGGCCACGAAGGGCAGCGAGGGCGCCACGAAGGGCTGCAACGGGTCCACGAAGGGAAGCGAGGGCCACGAAAGGCAGCGAGATCCCGATTCCTAGATAATCTATGAAGGAGTCCTAAGCGTGAGCGCGACTCCTGGGTGCCTGAGTGTCGGGAGCGCGGCGCTTTGAGTAAATTGTACGAAATTCCAAAGCAAGGGCGCTATTCTCGAGTAAATTGCGAGCAAGTCTCCAGCGAGAGCGCGACTCCCGAGCGCCGAGAGAGCGAGTCTGGAGTAAATTGTGAAGAAGTTCCCAGCGAGAGCGCGATTCCTGAATAAAATGCGGGGAAGTCTCGGGCGGGAGCGGGGGTCCTGGCTACATTGTGAGGAAGTCTCAGGCGGGAGCCGCTGTTGTTGTAGACTGGGGGCCAACAACGCAGTTTGCGGAGGAAGTTTTCCCTGGGTAAAAACCAAGCCGCGAGCGCCTGGAGGGGCACTTCAATTGAAAAATATAATGTGCACCGGAGGGGGGATCAACAATAATTATCCTTCAGTGGTGAGAGTTCAACAACAACAACAACAACAACAACAACAACAACAACAACAACAATAACAATAACAATAACAACAACAACAACAACAACAACAATCATTTTAATACCGTTCGCCCTTATATGCTCGAGTGCCCAATAACGCGTATTTCCCAAACCATCGATACCCGCCCTCTTTGTCTTCGATCGAACACCTTTTTGGGGGTATGGTTTTCTTCCCTGCAGGCCGGGCCCCGGCAAGCGGCGGGGCGGCCGCGGACCGTCGGCCTGGCCAGCGGCAGCGCTGATCGGCGGGGCGGCCGCGGACCGTCGACCCGACCCAAGAGGGACGGACAGGGGACCGACCACGACGACGACGACGACGACGACGACGACGACGACGACGACGACGTCGAAGACGACGGCGGACGACGACGACGGCGACGACGAGCGAAAGCGAGAGCGAGAGAGAACGACAGCAGGGCCACGAAGGGCACGAAGTAGGCCACGAAGGGCGACAGCGGGGACACGAAAGAAATGTATATGGGGCCACGAAGAGTGCGAACGAGCGGGGGCCACGAAGTGCAGATAATGCGGGGCCACAGAAAGCAACTATGGGGCCACTGAGGATAGCAACTGGGCCACGTGGGAAAATGAGGGGGACACAAATGGCGACAGCGGGGCCACGAAGGGCATGCACACGGGCCACAACGGGCGCGACTCCTGGGTGCCTGGGTGTCGGGAGCGCGGCGCTTGAGCAAATTGCAGGAAATTCCAACGCAAGGCTATTCTTCAGTAAGTTGCAAGCAAATCTCCAGCGAGAGCGCGACTCCAGAGCTCCGGGAGAGCGATTCCTGTATAAACTGCAAGGAAGTCCCAAGCGAGAGCACGATTCCTGAATAAAATGCAAGGAAGTCTCGGGCGGGAGCGGGGGTCCTGCCTAAATTGTAAGGAAGTCTCTGGCGGGCGCCGTTGTTGTTGTAACGCGGGGGCCAAGGGGCCAGTTTGAGCAGAAGACCTTCCCTGTCAAAAAAGGGGAGGGGTTTACCCCTCCCCTTACCCCTCCCCACTGACCTGGACGGGGCCGGTCACGAGGTGTCAGAGCGTCCAAGATGGCCCAAGACAGCTCCAAGAGCGAACAGGCGAGAAAACACAAAACATTGATTTTACCTAGGTTTTGGAAGGATTTTGGCATCTTGGGGGGGCCCAAGAGGCGACTCGAGGCACTCTGGAGGGGCGGGGCTAATAAGCAACCCCCCCTTCTTTGATAGATCTCCTCCAAGATGGCCCAAAGAGCGCCCCGAAGGCTCCCAAGAGCGCCCCAAGAGCGCCTCAAGAGGGCCCCAAGAGACCCCAAGAGGCCCCCAAGAAGCCTCCAAGACGTTGCCAAGAGACCCCCAAGAGGCCCCAAGAGAGTCCAAGATGACCCAAGACGGCTCCAAGAGCGAAAAGGCGAGAAAGCAACAAACATTGATTTTACCTAGGTTTTGGAAGGATTTTGGCATCTTGGGGCGCCCAAGAGGCGACTCGAGGCACTCTAGAGGGGCAGCGCTAATTGGGGAACCCCCCTTCTTTGATAGATCTCCTCCAAGATGGCCCCAAGAGCGCCTCGAAGGCTCCCAAGAGCGCCCCAAGAGCGCCCCGAGAGCGCCCCAAGAGGCCCCAAGAGGCGCCCAAGAGGCCTCCAAAAGGCTCCCAAGAGACCCCCAAGAGGCCCAAGAGGCTCCCAAGACGGGTCCAAGAGCGAAAAGGCGAGAAAACAAAAAACATTGATTTTACCTAGGTTTTGGAAGGATTTTGGCCTCTTGGGGGGGCCCAAGTGGCGACTCGAGGCACTCTAGAGGGGCAGCGCTAATTGGGGACCCCCCCTTCTTTGATAGATCTCCTCCAAGATGGCCCCAAGAGCGCCTCGAAGGCTCCCAAGAGCGCCCCAAGAGCGCCCCAAGAGGGCCCCAAGAGGCCCCAAGAGGCCCCCAAGAGGCCTCCAAGAGGCCCCCAAGAGACCCCCAAGAGGCCACAAGAGGCTCCCCGAGATACGCAAGAGGCCCCCGGGACCGCCAAGAGGCCCCAAGGACGGCCCAAGAGGCCCCCAAGTTCGCAATTGTCCTCCTCCTCCTCCTCCTCTTTTTCTTCCTCCTCCCTCCTCCCCCTCCCCCTCCTCCTCCTCCTCCTCCTCCTCCTCCTCCTTCTCCTTTTCCTCCTTCTCGTCCTCCTCGTCCTCGCAGTCCTCCATCTCCTCCTCCTTCTATTCCTCCTCCTCCTCCTCCTGCTCCTCCTCCTGCTCCTCCTCTTCCTCCTCCTACTCCGACGACGACGGCTCCTCCTACATCCTCCCCCTCTTGGGGTATATGGCGGCTCACCCCGCCCTTTGTTCTTCTGCATGCTCCCCCGCTTCCCTCATAACCTCCACTCCCCTGGGACTCATTTCTGGACGGGCTGGTGGGGATACGCGAAGCGTCTAGAATTGTAAGGAAGTCTCTGGCGGGAGCCGTTGTTGTTGTAACGCGGGGGCCAAGGGGCCAGTTTGAGCAGAAGACCTTCCCTGTCAAAAAACAGGGTGCGAGCGTCGAGGGACACACTTTGATTGAGAAAAACAGTATGCACCGGTGATGGGGGATCAACAATAATTGTTCTTCAGGAATGAAACTTCAACAACAACAACAACAACAACAACAACAACAACAACAACAACAACAACAGAAACAACAAAAACAATAGGAGAAGCCCTGGCGGCCCTCCTGCCGCCGCGCGCGGCCCGCCGCCCCCGCGGGCTGCAACCGCAAGGCGGCCCGCTCTGCCGGCGTCAGCCTTCGCTGGCCAGCCGCGCGCGCGGCGGCGCAGGCGGCAGCGATCGGGCTGGCGGTGCGGCCCTGCGCCCTCAGAAGAGGAGGAGGAGGAGGAGGAGGAGGAGGACGAGGAGGAGCAAGAGGAGGAGGAGGAGGAGGAGGAGGAGGAGGAGGAGATGGAGGAGGAGGAGGAGAAGCAAGAGGAGCAGGATAAGGAGGCAGCCTTTTCCTCCCACCTCCCCCAGTTCCTCCTACTCTTCCCCCTACTCTTCTTTATCATCATGACCATCCTCACTGCCCTGTCCGTCATCATGATCACAAGCATTTCTATGTTCGTGTTCGTCGTCCTCATCATCGTAATCATCATCAATCGTATGCATCATCATGATAATAATGACACCGTCGTCAACATCATAACCAAGATGATCATCGTCGTCGGCGGTGCCGTCGCCATTAACATTGTCATCCACGTCGTCGTTGCCCCAACGGCTCACACGTCAGAATCACCACTACCACCCGAAATGATCGTCAACAATAGCATAACCATAACCAACCGTCAACATCGTCACTATCATCAGTGGCACCGCCACCACCCATTAACCAGCGTCAACGACAACCTCATCACTGATGACCATCGTCATCATCGACATCGTCATCGTCATCATCGTGGTCGTCGTCGTCGTCGTAAACATCGTCATCATAATCGCCGCCGTCCGCATCACTCAAGACTCAAAACCGTCGCGACCACCAACATCACCATCCAGAAGCACCATCATTACAACCTTCGCCATCGCCATCGTCATTGTCATCCCCGGCCTTTGTCGAAGCGAAGAAGAAAAAACAAAAAAACACAAACAAAAAAACATGACGGGCATCATCGTCGCCGCCATCGCGGTCGGCATCGTCATCGTCGTCATGGCCGCCATTATCATCATCGTAATGATCGTCGCGGCCATGACCCGTACTACGATCAGCACAGCCACCAGCATCACCATTACCACCATGATCAGCATCACCATCATGATCACGATCATCAGCGCCGTCCGCGCGCTGACGCTGAGCCGCACTCTGGCGACGGAGGCATGGCGCGGCCGCCAGCGGCCCTGCCCACGCGGGCGCACTGGCTGGTCCGCTGCGCACCCGGGCAGGTCAAGAGCAGTGGAGAACGGCGCCCGCGTACCGCAACATGTTAGCCCGCTCTCCTCCCAAGTTCTAGCACTGCACCAGGCAAGGGTGACGAAAGCGAGGTACGAGCGACACCTCGTCACGTGGACTGCCGCCGCACCCCCAGCGGGGGGCGGGCAGAAGAAAGGGAAGGGATGGCGGGACAAGCGGTCCCTGTGATTCCGAAGCTGCTGCGGATGCAGGGAGCAGGGGGAAGAGAAGCACCGCTTCGCTTCCCCCTCTGTATCTCTTCCCCGTCGCTTCCCCTTCCCTGCTGGCCCGAGCACGCGCTGTCCTCTCACCCTCCTGAGAGGGTAAAGTCAAAACGTGTATTAAGGACAGGTGGTAAGGACGCAAGACCCTTGGAGGCCGAAGTTGGGATTTTTTGGGCGGCGGGCGAGAAGTGAAAACGGCAAAGGACGGGCCGCAGAAGCAAGGACACGAGGGCACCCTAGATGAAGGCGCGCGTCCTTACAAGGCGCGCTGACTGTAACAGGTCAGCACGGGCACGGGGCCGACAGTGCCAACTGTGACTCGCCCTCGTGGATCCGCGTCTGGACTCCCTGCGGGCGCCCCGCTCCCCTGCGGTGAGGCGCACGCCTGCCTGGCCCCGAGGGCCGAAGGCCGTGCGCTCCGCACCACTCCTGCGCCGCAGACGTGGCAACGCCCCGCGAGGCGGCAGCACGGCACGGTGCGGGCGAGTCGCCCAGCAAAGCCATGCACAACCACACACTCGAACCAACAAACAATGACACACAAATGAATAGACACAAATAAATAGACACACAAATAAATAGACACAAAGGGGACCCTGGGACACACAAAGGGAGCCCTGGGACACACAAATAAATAGACACAAGTGACAGGATTCCCCACATTGCCCCATAATTTCTGGGCTTCAGTCTTCCCCCCCACTTCCCACATGTTCCCAAAATTTCGGGGGAATCGACGATGAATTGTGTCTGTGTTTTTTCCCCTCCTGAACCCTGCCCCTCCAGGTCAGATGTTTCGGACGCTGGCTGGGGTTCGGAATTCGATGCATGTCCGTGGCCGGGAAGCCTCAAGCAAGGGGGGTCCGACACCCCAGCGCCGCGCGGACCCGCGAAACCAAAGAAGCTCGCCGCAGCAGTCACTCTGGCCCACAGGAGCCCCGCACGGGACGAAACGGCAGCCCGATGCTGGCAAGCAGCCGCGCCAGCGCGCTCTCCTCGTGCGGCAGGGCGGCCCCACGCTGCAGGGAGGCGAGCGGGGACCCGAAGACGGCGGGCGGCGACGGCGAGGACCGGGGAGGCGGGGCGAGGCGGGGGCCCGCATGCGAGGCGCGGGCGACGGCGGGGGGAGGGAGGCCAGTGCGGCTGGGCCCGCTGCCCTGCCCGCTCATGCTTCCCCATGGCTCTGAGAGCTCGCCGAGCGCCGACCTCCCCCACCTTCCCCCCCCCCCCTCCCAGGGCCGGTCGGCCCTGTGGGGCTGATCCAACTGATGAGCCAGGCGGCTCCTGGAGCGCTCGCTCCAGGAGTCGCCTGGCTGTGGGGAGCGACGTCTGCCGGAGGCGGAAGTGGACAGCGGCGGACCAGCGAGGGAGGAGGGAGAGCTCCTGCTGCGCCCCATCCTGCCTCTCCTCCTCCCTCTTGGGAGGAGGAGCGGGGACCACCGTTACCCAGGACCCTTCGGGGGTCAGGGGCCAACCCCTGGGAGGTGGCACGCCCGAGCGTCGTCCCGTACCGGGTGGCACTCGGGCGTGCCACCGCCTAGGCAGCGAGCCCGCCGCGGCCTTCGGCGCAGCCTCCTCCTCCTCCTCCTCCTCCTCCTCCTCCTCCTCCTCCTCCTCCTCCTCCTCCTCCTCCTCCTCCTCCTCCTCCTCCTCCTCCTCCTCCTCCTCCTCCTCCTCCTCTCCTCCTCCTCCTCCTCGTCCTCATGTTTCTCCTCCTCCTCCTCCTCATCATCCTCCTCCTCCTCCTCCTGGCTCGTAGCATGAGGCGCCACGAGTTCGATGATCCTCGACCAGCCTTCGCTGGTACACTACCCGCCTCGTCGAAGTGCAGCTCGGACCTGTGGTACCGCTGCCTGAATTACATGCTGCGGGATCGGTGCTGGGATCTTTATTAACGTGGTATACAGCAAATGAGCGACAAGCAAAAAAGAGAAATGAGAAGGAGCGGGATGGCGGAGGCCCAGACGGTCGAGCAGGTCAGCAGGGATGGGAGAGTTGAGGATGACAGCAGCCCACTCGAGCACGCGGTCGCAACAGAGGTAGTGTGGAACATGATCTCTGCCGCAGGGGCATCCGAAACGACAAATCTTAGCATCCTGAAATTTGGTCGAGGTGGTCCACCCTCCGACGAGGGTCTTGATTACACTAGAACTGTGATTCTGAGGCAGCTGCCGGCAAGCCTCCCGCACACGATCCCAATTCAATTGATCTATCTCAGCAGACAGCTCTGGGAACCAGGTCTTAAGCCGCAGGCTTAAAGTGCGAGGAATCTCATTCGGAAACAGACCAGATTCAAGGGCGGCCGCCAGCGTTCTTTGAAGCTTCGGGCGAGGTCCAGCAGAGGGACCTCCTCCTCCTCCTCCTCCTCCTCCTCCTCCTCATCATCATCATCATCATCATCATCAGCAGCATCAGCATCATCCTCCTCTTCCTCCTTCGCCTCCGCCCCCTCTTCCTCCTCCTCCTCCTCCTCCTCCTCCTCCTCCTCCTCCACATTCCCCATCCCTCCTCCTCCTCCTCCTCCTCTCATAGTTTCCTCCTCCTCCTCCTGTTCCTCCTCCTCCTCCGCCGCCTCCTCCTCCTTCTCCTCCTCCTTCTCCTATTCCATGACTGTTCCTTATAGATAACTTCTCCCTGCCGCACCCTGAGACCAGTTGTTTTGAGGAGGGCCTAGCGTTTCGCCTGAGCGTTCCTCACCGCCGATGGCCCTGAGGCGAAACCATGGGTAACAGTTTCACAGATGGAGGGCGGATCGTGTTCAAGATGTGGCTCTCGCCTTATCGCCGCCCACATTCTTTAAACCATGCAAGAGGCTCACGGATTGAGGGCCACCCGTTTTCAAAGTGTGGATATCGCCTTGGCGCCGCGCACAATCAGTTTAAACAGTTGCCGCAATTTCACTGTTTGGGGGGTACACGCTTTCAACATGTGGCTATCGTTGTAGTGCCGCGTACCTTCGTTTTAAATAGTTGCAAGCATGTCCCTGATTGAGGGCGGATCATGTTCAACATGTGACTCACGCCTTAGCGCCGCGCAGATTCGTTTATAACAGTTCGCAAGAGTTTAACAGATGCCCATGCTCAAACTACCAGAAATGGTGTTTGGGGGGGATTCGGGAGTTGCGGGTGCAACAGTTACGTTGATTCGCGGTGTTGAAGGCTGAAAGATGGCGTTCTGGCGCGACTCAAGATCGTCAAAACGTAACAGTCAGGTTGATCCGTGGCGTTGGAATCCCGTAAACCATGCTTTCGCATTCTTCAGGGTCTTCAAACGGTTGTCTTCCAACGAGGCAGTTCCCTCAATGGAAATGATCCGTTGTAGGGGCCTATGAAGAGGGAGCTTGGAGCGAGGGTTGATTCCAACATCGCTGATGACTCTTGGGTTTACACTGGTCCTCCTCCTCCTCCTCCTGCCCCTCCGTCGCCCTACTCCCTCCTCCTCGACTCGAACCGATGCGGGTATCAGTATTGATCTCAACGATACCCCCCTCCCCTGCGGCCTTCGCTGCTGTGGGGAGAGGAGGGAGCGAAAACAAATTTAGGGATACAAGTGTAGGTAGAGCCGAGAAGAGAGAGGGGAGCGACGAAAACGGCGGGACGACATGGAGGCCTGCGACGAGAGCATGAAAGAAGGATCCGTCCGCATC